TATATATATATATATATAGGGGTGGCTAATAGTGGCCTTGGCCACTATAGATTAAAATTGCTCAAGAAAAAACTAAATGATTCATGTTCAATTAGACTCTGTATTTGATGTGTTAGTTAAATAGTAAAATCAAGTGTGACTCAGGGAAACTCTCAGGACTATCCTGAGTGGACATTAGAGCAAAACTCCATCAGAGAAAAGCTGGTTCCACTGATGAACACAGCTTCTATAGAGAGAGGGGCTCGGTCAGCTTTTATATCGGCCCCTCACCTGTAGGTTTGATGACTCTTTTCTCTCAACAAAAATAACAAGAGATTCAGATTTTATTTAACTGTATCTTATTTAAATGTGTCAAATTGTTCTGTGAACTCAGTGAGTCGTTCTTTTTAAAATAAAAAAAACTGCTGCAACACAAAAGACTTCAAGTAGCAGAAACATCTTTAGTTATAAACATTTCTCAGGTTCAAAGTTATAAGAAGATTTTATTGTTAAATCCCTGAAAACAGGACCAGAAGCAACGTTTATGATTTTAATCTTCTGGAGTGCACTTTAGATGTAAATGCAGGCACATTTATTTATTTATTTATTTATTTATTTATTTATTTATTTATTTATTTATTTATTGTGTGATGTGGACATTTCAGGACAGTTTTTTTCAGTCATCAGTAGAGCTTCTGTGCAGATATCAAACTCCATTTGTAGAATTTATGATGACTGTTGTGGAATACTTATTATGTATCACCTTGACACTGTCCAATTGTTCATATCTTGTGATATCCCTGGACGTCATCATCATCATCATTGCCATGACAATGACTAAATTCAGACAGTTCTGACTCCTACAGTCTATGTTGAGAGAAAAGTTTTTGCACAAACCCTTTATTTGAAGCGGCAGGACTGTGAGCTTCTCAGAACCTCCTGTGAACATTTAAAGATGTTTTGGTGATTCTGATTTTTTTTAATTTCCCCAACATGTGTGTAATGTTATCAGCCCATCAGATACTGACCTGACTTTGTTCTATTAAATATATAAAATGAAACTAATTCAGTACAGCTCTGTAGGTGTTGGTTTCATCATTTATCACCTGTGTTAAACAGAAACTAGCTACATTAACATAAATATGCACGTATGTTAACAGTTTCTCACTTTTTGTTTATTGTTCTTTGATTAAATGAAGTGAATTCTGTATTAAAAAAAAACGTTCAGCTGTTTGGTGTGAATCTGAAGTGTTCCACAACACAGACAGCTGTAACCTGTTTACAGTCCACTGACCACACTGACTTCCTGACAAAGATTGAAGATGTTTTCTCCTGGATTCAACCTAAAGTCTGAGAAATCCTCTCACTCAGCTTCTGTTTGAAAGCTGCACACATCTGTCACAAGTTGTTTATTTGACATACTACATGCAACCAGCAACAAGAAACCCACCAGAACATCTAGTTTACAACAATAAAAGCTAAATATATATATATATATATGAATTCAAATTTAAATTCAGTTCATATTTTTGTGGAAAAACTTTTAGCTGTTTTCACTTTTTTATCGTTGTTTTCTCTCATCAGCAAAATGAAATAATTCTACATGTTTGTTTGTTTGTTTGTTTGTTTGTTTGTGAAGTTCACATCTGAAGAGTAAGTGTTCAGATGCAGCGGTTCATTTGTTTCTAATCTCTGAGCTTCTGCTCTTTAAGCCTGGTTTAAATGATGACGAGCCAATCAGAGCAGAGGAGCGATGAAGAAAGTGTGATGTGTTGAGAGTGTCTGTGTGACCTCTGACCTCTCCACCCGTCCCGCAGCAACGGCTCGGCCACCTCGGAGGATCTGTTCTGGAAGCTGGACGCGCTCCAGATGTTCGTTCTGGACCTGAACTGGCCCGAGCCGGAGTTCGCCAAACACCTGGAGCAGAGGCTGAAGCTGATGGCCAGCGACATGATGGAGGCCTGTGTGAAAAGGTCAGCCTGAGATTAGGATTATATTAGAAAAATGAGGAAACTACTTTATAAACTGATTTTTTTAACACTTTGACAAGTACTGGCCCAAAGTTGGTAATAAATAAAGAATACTGTGTGCAAAGTCCTAACATTAAAAAAAAAGGTAAACCTTGTCTTAAAAGGATCCCTGATTAGTTGTAACATTAGACTTTATTTGATAAACATATATTTTAACTGTAAAATAAAGACTGTAAAAATACTGTAGGCTGTTTAGTTTTTATCCTTTTTAAACTAAAAGTTTAAAAATATATTACATGGACGGGGCCATTTTATTTACACGCAAAGCATTCTGGGTAAATGATGTTGTGGATAGGTCCTCGGTGCGAGGCTGCTAGCGAGCTATATCCACCCTGAAGGTTAATCTTGGACAATATCTGATGATCGACTCTTTTAAATGAAACCAGAGAGCGTTGACAGAGAGGAGAAGGTAGAAATGACTCAGCCTGTAACTGAAAATATGGATGGAGGACCTCAGTTTAGCTTGTTTGTTGCGCTAGCGCCGAGCTAATACATATAAGGCAATGTAGCGTCGGCGCTAGCGCGAAGGCTAATAGGCTAAGCTGAGGTTCTTCTTCCATGAAGCAGCTCTGTTGTCCTCCATCCATATTTTCAGTTACAGACTGAGTCATTTCTACCTTCTCCTCTCTGTCAACGCTCTCTGGTTTCATTTAAAAGAGTCGATCATCAGATATTGTCCAAGATTAACCTTCAGGGTGGATATAGCTCGCTCACACCGAGGACCTATCCACGTCATCATTTACCCAGAATGCTTTGTGTGTAAATAAAATGGCTCCGTCCATGTTAAAATACATATTTAAAAATTTACAAAACTAAACAGCCTACAATATAAGGTTGGGCATAATCATATCTTGTGCAATTAATTGTCAGAAAAACATTAATCGATTATATTGGCACTTGACGATTAATACGATTAATGCGACCAGGCAGAGTCCGCTCGGTGCTCCTCTCCGTTTCAAATATAACGAACATTTTTTTAAAAAGTTCTGTAATTTATTTATCAACACAATTTAAAATTTTATGTATAGCCTGAAGTCTGTAATTTTGACACAATTTGGAACAGATTTTTCCTTTTTTTTTTTGGAACAGATTTTTCCGAAGAGGAAATGGGTCATGTGATCAGAACATAAGGGTGTCCAGGGCGTCCAGGGGATTGATCGTCAAATTTATCGTTATCAGCTAAATACCACAATTAATCATGATAATTCTTCTTGCCAATATTGCCCAACCCTATCAAAGTATTTTACAGCCTTTAGTTAAAATATATGTTTATCAAATAAAGCCTAATGTTACTAATCACAGATCCCTTTAAATCTGGTGAAAGTACTTAGCTGTTTCTTAATTCAGGGGCTGGGTCCTTTGAAGGACCCGGCCTACCCGGTCTAGGTGGGCTGTGTCCCTGCTTTATTCCCGGCCTTACCCCAACATATATCCTGTCACCTAGCAATCATGACAATGCTAAACAGAAGCAAAAATAGAGTGAAATTTGCAAAATATCAGAATATTAGTAATACAGTATATCATAAAACAACAAAATTAACTTAAAGGCAATATTTGAAGACCTAATGGATCCACCATACGTGCATGTTTATTTCTCTATACCAGCTCATTTGATTTCTGACCAGAATAATATTATAAACCTTTATTATTTTAACAGGTAAGTCAATTGAGAACCAATTCTCATTTACAATGACGACCTGGTTGAGTGGCAACAGTACAACATAAAATGCCAGAACATGTTAAAACAAGGACACAACACAGAGTAGAGTGCAGTTAAACATATTACACTACTAATCAGGAAAATGAGATCAAAAGAAAAACTAAAAGCATGTACAGTGATCTTTTACAATAGAATGTATAGAACTTTTATGAATTAATATTGAAAATATGTCTATAAAAATGACAAAAGCATTAACAACACAACCGCTTGAAACTTTAAATTTTAAACCATCAGGTTTTTATTTAAAACTGTACTCCTTTATCTCACATCGTCCGTCATTACAGACAGAAAAAAGTAATTCTCTGGTTGTCCCGCAATGCCTTATAAATTATGGGTGGCTGAGAAGGATCTGTCACTCAAATCGGGGGGGGGGGGGGGCTTTCATCCAAGCTTTTGTTTATATTTTCTCACAGCCGTCCTAATCTTTTATGTCTCAAAAGGTGTTTTGATTCCATAATGATGGGTTGGGGGGGGGGGGGGGGGGGGGG